TGTGTGTGTGTTGCAACCCGGGAGCCTCCCAAAACGGCTGGTTGCAAGTGGGCTTTTCTGTGGTGACACTGACTCCCGATCGGTTCCGTTTCTTGGCACACAGACAGATCATGTCTGTCACGGGGTCACTGCCCATGAACATAGAAGGTTATCAAGAGCAGCCATGCCTGAGAGATCTGACTGTTGGTCTGGTCGAATGGTGATAGTGCATGCGTGCTCATGTAGCATTTTCTCGTGAGAACAATAATGATACTATTCTGAAATGACTTCGGAAAAAGCATTGCGCAAATCCTGCTCGCTACGTGGACAATCGGGTCGTTGAAACTGCACAAACCCAAACCGCACGCCAATAGCCCCCGAAACACAAGCGAAACGCACGCGAAGCTCCCACGTGGCATGCACAAAATCCGTGCCACCTGAAAACCGGCACGGCCCGGCCTCCAGAACCAGTAGAGCAAGGGCAAGGCCAGGCACAACAGGCCCAGCACCACCAGGATGCCCCTGCTGACCGGCGGAGAAAGCAACGTGCCATGGGTCTGAAAGCCTAAAGGGGCAGGGTGGTTAGTAAGCGGTTAGTAAGCATGGTTATTACCCACTTAGGAAACTTACAACCATGGTAAGTGGGTTATAACCATGTTTGTTACCCACTTACTAAGTACAATGCCCCTTCCAGCCTATAGAGTTGATGACGTCTGACCACCCGAGAAGCTCGAGAAAAAGGGTGCTTGGGCGATGGCACGCGTGAACAGTGCGGGGCTGCGAAGATTAACGCATATGAATAGGTTTGGCCACAATGCCTGAGTGGCCCTTCAAACTTCTGGCCTTGCCCCAGCCCACCACCCACTGGCCTTAAAGTCTCACCGCTGAGTATTGAGTGGATAAGCCAAGCAACATGTGGTGTATCATCGAACAATCAAAAGGAAGTTGCTGCAAACAGCTTCCCCACATATTTTCCCAGGGTCTAAGGAACTTCTCAAGAGAAACTTGCATGGTTGGTCAGAAAGCAAATGCCCGAAGCCAAGGGTCCTAAAATTGGTGGGACTCGGACAGTTTAAGAGACCAGAAGGCGAACATTTTTGGGATGTTCCCCATTTCTGGAAGCCGCTCGTGCCTGATTGGCTTAAGGTCATTTCGGACAGGACGGCTCCGGCAGTTGCTTAAAGCCACGCATGGCGTTAGTCCAAAGCTTGAAATCCCCTTTTGGATGATGCTTGCTTGCTAACTAAGCTTAGCGAACTTGTTGGATATTGGAGAGTCAATTAGCTAACCGAGGACACTATCAAATTAGCTCACGTAGTTACTTTAGCTATAGCGGGAACTAACATGAACTAACTAGCTGACTGCTAGCTATCTAACTAGCTTGCTCTCGAGCTGGCTAAGCACTCAACGAGTCCACTAGCTTAGCTAACCAACCAGCTAATAAGTTAACTAGCTAGTTTGATTTCACGCATGCCGGCGGTTGAAGAGACAAGTGCGGACACAGGCGCGCTTACATGCACTGGCAGCACTTCACGAACAGCGCGCTCCAAACCATAGTTTGTGTTTTGTTTTTCGCTCCCGGCTCTGCTCCTGTGATTGAAACTTCCGCCCCAGCTCCGGAGCTTACTGGTATTCTGTTTTAAGCAACTCAGCTCCAATAACATTCAGGTGGGTGTGGGTCAAAAAATGGTTCCCAAAATGGAACCCTGGTAAATCTGAACAAAGACGAACACCTTGTTCAGGTGGTCAAACATTGACCCAAAGCCAGGTCAAGAGATGAGTTCACCGAGGTCTCGAGGGGCTTTTCGCTGAGCCCCCTCGCGCTAAAGCCCAGGGAGGCAGGCCAAGGATGTCCTGGCGTTCGAAGCCCCGAAAGCCAGTCAAAGCGCACCCCATATTTAGAGGTGGAGGAGGGGAGGGAGGGAGAGGGAGGGAGGGGAGGGAGAGGGAGGGAGGGAGGGAGGGGGAGGGGAGGGAGGGGGAGGGAGGGAGGGGAGGGAGGAGAGGGGAGGGGAGGGAGGAGGAGGGGAGGAGGGGAGGAGGGGAGAGGGAGGGGAGGAGGGGAGAGGGAGGGAGGAGGGGAGGGAGGAGGGGAGGAGAGGGAGAGGGAGGGGAGAGGGGGAGGGGAGAGGGAGGGAGAGGGGAGAGGGGAGGGGAGGGGAGGGGAGGGGAGGGGAGAGGGGAGGAGAGGAGGGGAGTGTTGATCTTTAAAGATGGACCCTAGTGACATGCTTTCAACATGACAACAATTGGCGTGGACCGTTTGTAACACGAAGTCAAAGGAAGCCAGTTGGAAGGAGCGCCAACTCCGACACGGCCACGGCCAAACGACGCATAGCGGGCTGCCGAGCAGCTTCCCTCAATCAAGCCTAATTAGCACCAACTTCTGTTTGCTCCGGTTGTGGATGCATTATATAATTTACCATATACCTTCCCTAAAGAAGGGGACCCTCAAAATGGTTGACTTCCCTTCGGCTTTGCGTTAAACACATCCAAATTGAGATATCTGAATGTCACTTGAATGAGCTCTTCAATTTGGTCTTGCGTATATAATCCCAAACAACGGCGAAGATGAACATGATCCTTAAGGGTGGATCTCCTAGGTGTCCACCGACAAGAGCCCTGCTCTTTTGGTCAAGCTGCACTCTCCACAAGAGCCACCATGTTGCTACCATGTTTTGGTTTGAATTTCCCGTGCCATCAAAAAGGCAAACACGTCGGGAAAAATGAAAAACGGACCCACCCCAAAAAAAAGGCTCAGGTGATATCCCCAACAGCATGTGGTTCTCTTTGTAGTGCTCGCACCACTCGCAGAACCTCGCGGAACCCTCGTGGAACCCTGGTGGAACCCTGGTGGAACCCTGGTGGAACCCTCGTGGAACCTTGCCTCAGGGCCGCCCCGGACCACCCCGGAGCCTATCTGGGCTGAGACCCCAAAGCGTTCAGCTGTTGGGAAAACCAAAACAAGGACACTAAGGACCCTAACGCCCCTAAGGAAGGAGTCTACACCTTTCCCTGTGAAGGCCTCAAGGCCAATTCCAGGTCTATTCCTCTACCAGGGACACAACAGGAACACAATTCAAGAAACAGTAACACTCAGTAAGATGAGCATCATGTTTGAACACCTGTTTTCCCAACCGGAATATCAACCGCCTTTTGCTTGGCCATATATAGATCAGAAGTGCAGAACCACAGAAACAAATGAGTTGCTTTTGTTCTTGAACAATAAACACATAGTATCAAAAAGACAAAAACAAACAAACAAAATCGTTTCCTTTGAAAACAAGAAGAAAGAACAAAAAACAGAAAAACAAAAAACACGTTTTGGTTCTTTGGCTCCCTGGACGTGAACTCTCGCCCACCCAAAAAGAACTGCTCACGGGTCGGCCTGCGGGCCATCGGCGCCCACAGGTTGCCGCGGGCCCTGGCGTTTCTGCCGGGGGGAAACGACTTGGACACCTCAGTCTTCAACTTGAGGTTCGGTGGAAGAAGGCGTTCTCTAACCGAAAACATGGAAGAATCTAAGTGGCCGCGTGACATGGTTTGGAGCCTTGTGTGCATGCCCAAGGGTATCTCGAAGGAAATCTTAGATGGAGTCAATGGCCAAGGGTATCTCGAATTCAAACGACGCTTCGCTATTAAATGCACACATTAAAAGGATAAAGGTCAAAACAAGACATTAAAAAACCGTCGACTCATGCATCTACTACTTTGGCTTGGAAGAGTATTGGCCAATGTGCTTCTCTGCCAGTCCTTGCAGGCAAAGGAATGGAAGACGTTGCACCCTTCTGCAACTATTGAGGCAGTGTCCACTCCGTATTGCCCCTATATCTTTCAATCCCCAGATGCTCACATTGCCGGTAGATCCTGGGATTCAGAGAAGCCGCGGCACCAACAAGCAGGGTGGTGTTTGTCCGAGTGAGCACCCCAATTCTTAAGGTGTTTGCGCTGGTTTCACTTCAAAGGAGATGAGCATTTGCCCGTGATTCTGCAGGCAAAGCCCTATACGGGTATACACGGGTATGGCTCAAAAAGCCGGTACCAAAATGGAACCCTGGTAACTGGAAACATGGACCAAAACCTGCGTAACCCTAGCTCTTTAATTTTGAGTCACTGCCATATCGCAAGTAGGGCAACAAGGAAGACCTTGCAAATTTACCGAAAATTGCAAGCCTTGCGTGGCTAGATGTGGTGGTTGACTTGCAGTGTTCTGGGACGGGAGTCTAGCGCAGCAGGCCTAGAAGCCGCCCCGAACAGGCAGTGACATATCTTCGTATTTGCAAAACAGCATCGCTTGGGGTCCTTCTATACAATATCATCTTCAGCTGGAGACAACAGAAGCGGCTGCTACCTTACCCAGCATGTCCCAGCATGTAGTGTTCATGGGTGAAAGTAATCTTGAAAAAAGAAGCTTGCACGTTTAGTGTGCAGATTCAAAACCGATTCCTCCAACCGCTTTCGCTTTCGCTTTGACATCTCCGAACTCATCGAGCGGCGAGGGCTCGAGGCCTGCGTCAGAGAGGGCTCGAGGCCTGGCGAGAGTCACACTCTAGGAAAAAAGGGCCCATGGCTCGAAAATCATCTTGGACCAAGCCTTTGTGGCCAAGGTGGAATTTTCCAGGTCGGGGTCACAAGATTTCCCCCCTTCCCAAAAAATCCCTAAGCCACTCCGGGCCAAGGATTGCCCCCACCTTCCCAAAAAAAACGCTAAGCCAAGGAAAGCTCGAGCTCAGCGTCAACTATCAACTCTCAGAACTGGCGATCACAAGGCTCATGCGGAGCCTTCCTCATGGTGAACCGTGGTCCCCTGAAGTTGCCCCTTTGGCAAAGGAAGATCCAACATAACATGGGAACCTGAACGATATGACCAATTGCCGCCATGGGTCAGCAGACTGGTCCAGGACTCATGTGTCTTGTTTTACATGTGAGTAAGGGACTTATTTGCTATATACATGGTTGAATGGTCGGTTGTCCTCGTTTTCCAACGCCGCATGTGTTTGTGATCTCAACCACCATGCCAC